ATCTATAAATTTCCTCACTAACAGAACACAGAGAGTAGTCCCGTCACGAGAGTAAAGTTTCCGAGGCAGCTACGTGATAGCTCTGTTCCACAAGGCAACAGTACTCGCTCCCATCATGTTCCTCCTCCTTATATCCGACATAACAAGATGTCAGCCACAGCACCGTGTCCTTCCTTTGCAATGACACACGCCCGAATCTGCATGACAGTGTCTTCCATTGCCGACACTGCAAGCTCCAGCAGACATCAACCAAATCTTTCAGTGGGCTGCAGAAAACAATATGAAGTACAACGATGAAAATTGCAATTACACAGATATGGTAAACATGAGGAAATTAAATCTTCATCAGAGTAGCAAAAACAAATTCTGGCCACAAAATAGAGCGAAACACCAACGTCCAAGACGCTGGAGTGATCAGTCGGAGATCTCACCTTTCAGGACCATACATTGTATCAATTCGCATCTTCTAGAAAAATGACAGGATGGATAATGAAACCTACAAAACTAGGGAGGCCAGCCCATGATGACACTCTTCAGGTCCACTTGTTCTATCTAGCTGAATATTGCTGCACACTAACAGCACCCTTTCAAGGCATGTGAATTGCCGACCTAGAAAATGACAAGAGAACTTTCACGGCGCGCAGACGGAGAAAAACACCCTCAATTATTGGAGCGCTTGAGTTCCTAACCAGTATTCCCTGACTAGGGATATTAATATCTTGGAAATTCTAGAGGACTATGTCCAGGGCTGAAAAAATCCCCCGTAACCTGAAATAGGCGCAAGGCCATCCCTCAGTGAAACGGTGTGTCACTAGCACTTAAGAGACAAAATAAGTAGTCGGGGAACTGTTACTGCCTCCCGGCACTAGGGGATTACAAAACAGATCCTGGCAGTCTTTAATGAGGACTGGAGCCCTAAGTCGACAACACGGGGGGTGAGGTCTGATGTTGTTTGCATAACAGCAACACGGTGTTTGACAAGAGTCTGATCCACCAGGATGTCGTTGGACGGGCGGGGGCGTTGCCCGAATCTCTCAGTAATATATATATATTATTCTAGATATCATAATAATATATATATATTATAATATATATATCAAATATAGTAATTTACGGGATGTTATATTATAATATATAATTTAATATATAGATATTAATTATTATATTATAATATAAATTAGGTGATCTCTATACGTATATGGCTTCTAAAGTTGTTTTGGGGCCGTGAAATGCAGTGATTTGATGCTTGTAAAGTGTTGAAGTTGATAAAGTATTTTCTTTTTGGGGATTTTTTATTGTTACCCCGCGTGGGGAAGACGACTTGTTGGAAAAAAAAAAAAAAAAATTATAATATTTATAAATAGATATAATTTATATAATTAATATATAATATTTATATTTATTAATAATATTAAAATATATATATGATAAAATATATATAATATATATAATAATATTTAATAATATATATAAATATAATTAGATAGATTAAAAGTTGGCAGAAAGGTGGGCAATGAAGATAGGGGGGTTGAAGAGGTTGGTATAGTTTTAAAAATAGTATTAGAATTGGGCAGAAGTTTGTGGTTATAGGAGGGTGGGGGCAGGTGGAAAGGGGGATTGGTGGAATGACGAAGTAAAGGGTGTGATAAAAGGAAAAAGTTATATGAGAGTTTTTACAAAGCAGAAGTGTATAAGAAAGCAGAGTATATGGAATAAAAGAAGAGTGAAGAGAGTGGTGGAGAGAATGCAAAAGGAGAGCAGAATGAAGAGTGGGAGAGGCATGTCAAGCAAATTTTTATGAAAATAAGAAAAAGTTTTGGAAAATGCCTAGGAAAGTATGGATTTGTCAGTTAAAAACAGAGTAGGGAGTTAGTAGATGGGGAGAGGGAGGTATAGGTAGATGGGAGATATGTTGAGGAACTTTTAAATGTTGAGGAAGATAAAGTGGTATTTCTGATGGGCAGGGGGGGTATAACCATCTTTTAGGAGTGAAAGGGAAGAGCCCGGTAAATGTGGGGAAGGTTTTGTGAGGATAGAAATGAAAGGGGGGTAAAAACAGCGGGGTGATGGGATCAGAAAAGAAATGTTAAAAGCAGGGGGGGATATAGTTTGGAGTGGTTGGTACTTTGTTTTTAAAAAATGTTTTGAAAAGGGGAAGGTACCTAGGGATTGGCGGAGAGCATGTATAGTCCCTTTATATAAAGGGAAAGGGGACAAAAGAGATTGTAAAAATTATAGAGGAATAAGTTTACTGAGTATACCAGGAAAAAGTATACGGTAGAGTTATAATTGAAAAAATTAGAGGTAAGACAGAATGTAAAATTGCGGATGAGCAAGGAGGCTTCTAAGTGGGTAGGGGATGTGTAGATCAAGTGTTTACATTGAAGCATATATGTGAACAGTATTTAGATAAAGGTAGGGAAGTTTTTATTGCATTTATAGATTTAAAAGAAGGCATATGATAGGTGGATAGGGGGAGCAATGTGGCAGATGTTGCAAGTATATGGAATAGGTGGTAAGTTACTAAATGCTGTAAAGGGGCTTTTATGAGGATAGTGAGGCTCAGGTTAGGATGTGTAGAAGAGAGGGAAATTCGTCCTGGTAAAAGTAGGTCTTAGACAGGGATGTGTAATGTTCACCATGGTTGTTTATATATATTTATAGATGGGGTTGTAAAAGAAGTAAATGCTAGGGTGTTCGGAGAGGGGTGGATTAAATTATGGGAATCAAATTCAAATGGGTTTTGACACAGTTACTTTTGCTGATGAACTGTGCTTATGGGAGATTCTAAGAAAAATTGCAAAGGTTAGTGGATGAGTTTGAGAATGTGTGTAAAGTAGAAAGTTGAAAGTAAACATAGAAAAGAGTAAGGTGTAGGGTATCAAAGATTTAGATAAAGAAAATTGGATATCAAATTGGGAAGGAGGAGTATGGAGGAGTAATGTTTCAGATACTTGGGAGTTGAAGTGTCGGCAGATGGGTTTATGAAGGATGAGTGTAATCATAGAACTGATGAGGGAAAAAAGGGTGAGTGGTTCGTTGAGGTATAAGTGGAGTCAAAAACGTTATCTATGGAGGCAAAGAAGGGAATGTATGAAAGTATAGTATTACCAACACTCTTATATGGATGTGAAGCTTGGGTGGTAAATGCAGCAGCGAGGAGACGGTTGGAGGCAGTGGAGATGTCCTGTCTAAGGGCAATGTGTTGTGTAAATATTATGCAGAAAATTCGAGTGTGGAAATTAGGAGAAGGTGTGGAGTATAAATGCATTAGTCAGAGGGCAGAAGAGGGGTTTTTGAGGTGGTTTGGTCATTTAGAGAGAATGGATCAAAGTAGAATGACATGGAAAGCATATATATCTATAGGGGAAGGAAAAAGGGGTAGGGTCGTCCTCGAAGGGTTGGAAAGAGGGGGTAAAGGAGGTTTTGTGGGCGAGGGGCTTGGACTTCCAGCAAGCGGCAAGGGTTAGATAGGATAAATGAGACGAATGATACTTGGGACCACGATCTTTGGGAGTGTGGCGGGTAAATTTAGAAAAAGGGTTCAGGGAAACCGGTTTAATTTTTTCATAAGTCGGACTTGAGTCCTGAAATGGGAAGTAAAAATGCCTGCACTTTAAAGGGGGGGTTTGGGATTTGGCTTTTGGGGGGGAATGTTGTTTCTTTATACGTTATGCTTCTAAATTGTTGTATTCTGAGCCCCTTTGCAAAAGCAGTGAAAATTGTGGAGTTGGTGAAAGTGTTGAATGATGAAAGTATTTTTTTTTGGAATTTTTCTTTTTTTTTGGGTACCCTGCCTCGGGGGGAGACGACCGATTGTTGAAAAAAAAAAAAATAATTTTTGTATTTTTATTATATTTAGTTATATATTTAATTTATATGTATATATATTATTATATTTTTATATTAATTATATATTATATATTTTTTATATATATATTATATATATATATTATATAAATATAATTATATATATTATATAATATATTAATATATATTATATAATTATTATATTTATATATATATAAACCACACCCGCACACGCATGCACACACTTTTCCTCCGGATGGTAGAAAATTTTTTCCTGGGGAAATGCACCAAAAATACGAATTTGATAAAAATTTTCGGAATTTTGGCATAAATTTAAAAGGGCGGGGAGCATTTTACATCAAGATTTTGCTGACTTTTAGCCTTTTAAGCCCAAATTTTTTGCTCCCTTTGACTTTTCCTACTTTTTCCTAGTATGCTCTTGTTTTATCATGCCCCCATAAAGGCCAGCATTCGGGAATTTGCAAATTTATCATAGTTCACCCAAACTACTTAATTCATTGTACAACTGTGTATCATGTCCAAAATATATTAAAAGAATTCAGTTTAAAAACAGAGTCCAAAATAATTACTGTAGACATTCTAGGCACTAAAACATTTTCTCTATGCAATAATCATGTTCTCAAGACTTTCCTATATTACACTTGCCTTCCATTTTTAAATTCTTCATCACACACAAAAATTTTAGATTTACCCTATTTTTTGGATAATATACAGGAATGATTTTTCATGGTTAACAGCATCCCAGTAATTGAATTAGACATAGGAAAACCTATTAAACAAGACCACGGATGTAGGGAAGACCTTACTCATCCTAAAGAACATCAGCAAAAATTAAATATTTCCTCTGCTTTGAAATTGATTTCAAACTGTGTATGTACTTTCAATCCTGGAACCAACTAAAATCATCTTTATTTCAGTAGTATGTCTTCCATTCTGTTGAATGATACCAAGAAACAGTCAATAAAACAATTAAAAACCTTTGTAGAAAATACCTCAGTCGGTAGTTTAATTTTATAATCAAATAAAGCATTAAACCAACAAGGGTCATGTCGCTAGTTTAAACTAAACACAAGACCAGATTTGGTTCTCCCATCATGCACTGTGTGAGGCAGAATTTTTTTTTAATACTGTGAACACTCACCGTGCAAACCAATTCTTCACATGTCTAGATCATAAGTAAGCAAGTTTTGGTTAATCTCTTACACAAGTTATTTCTTGTTACAGTTCACTCTCACTATGACTTGTCAGCTGAAGGTGTTTTTGCAAAGCATCATGCAGTTGTGAAGAAGGAAGCAGAGAAGTATGCTAAAGCTGCTTTGAAAGATAGCACTGGCTTAGAGACTGCTCAACAGATATCCTTGCTGACAGAAACATTTAAAAAGTTTGTTACCATGTAATTTGTATTCATATGAATATTGTCTGTAGTAATGTACCTCAGTATAATTGGTATATTTTTTTTATTTTTTTCTTCTTAACACATCGGCCGTCTTCCACCAAGATAGGGTGACCTAAAAAAGAAAAACTTTAATCATCATTCACTGCATCACTGTCTTGCCAGAGACATGCTTACACTACAGTTATAAAACTGTAACATTAACACCCCTCCTTCAGAGTGCAGACACTGTACTTCCCATCTCCAGGAGTCAAGTTCGGGCTGCTGGTTTCCCTGAATCCCTTCATATATGTTACCTTGCTCACATTCCAACAGCACGTCAAGTCTTAGAAACCATTTGTCTACATTCGCTCCTATCTAACACACGCATGATTGCTGGAAGTCCAAGCATAACCTTTACCTTCCCCCCCCCTCCATCCTTTCCTAGGCTGACCCCTACCCCGCCTTCCTCCACTACAGATTTGTACACTCTCGAAGTCATTCTATTTTGTTCCATCCACTCTACATGTCCAAATCACCTCAACAACCCTCCTCAGCCCTCTGGATAATAGTTTTGGTAATCCCGCACCTCCTCCTAATTTCCATACTACGAATTCTCTGCATTATATTTACACCACACATTGCCCTCAGACATGACGTTTCCACATTCCCTTCTTTGCTTCCATGGACAGAGTTCTTTGTCTCCAGACTCCTAAGTGCACCACTCACCTTTTTTCCCTCATCAGTTCTATGATTCACCTCATCTTTCATAGACCCATCTGCTGATACGTCCACTCCTAATTTTTTTTTTTCCAACAAGTCTGCCGTCTCCCACCGAATATATTCATCTCCTCCATACTCTCTCCCTCCAATCTGATATCCAATCTTTCGTTACCTAATTTTTTTGTTATCCTCATCACCGTACCCTTTCCTATATTCACTTTTAATTTTCTTCTTTTACATACCCTACCAAACTCATCCACCAGCCTCTGCAACTTCTCTTCAGAATCTCCCAAAAGCAGAGTGTCATCAGTGTCAGGAATTTAATTTTTGTAATTATCCCAGAGTTCATTAAGACAATTTTCTTGTACTATATGACATATGGTAAAATAAATCTTAGAATGGATGGGGTTTGAACTCGTGGTAATTGTGTTATAATTTTGTGAGTCATGGTATGCCTGTTATGATTTTATGAGTTGTATACCAGGCTGGGGGTCAACGCCCCAGTATATGATGAGTTTGTAAATACTATGCAGTAAATTGTACTGTAATGAATAATTATGTTTGTGCATTCCTTCTGTTTATTTTAATGGCCCCTCAGGGAAGGTTCCTTGATGCTGGTGAGGGGCTCTTGATCAAGGGAATTGAATCTGTGCTTCATTTCCCTGAATTAGATAATACGAATACCACCTGGTGGTTCACACTTACACTCACTCACCCATTTGACCATAAACAGAAATATCAATCTCAATCTCAAAATAATGAATCTTAACTAGTCAAAAGTTGGCCTGTGATACTCCAATACTGAAACTATGTATAGTGCCAAAACAAAAGCATTCACATTGCTAAACTCACAACTAGTATTTAGTCACTTAGCCATAATACCAACTTATCTCATAATTCTGTAACATTTTAAACCTAAGATTTAATATAAGTCTGCCCGAAATGCCTAGCCATGCTAGGCGTTCTAGTGGTACACTCTGTAATTATTATTTTACTACATGTAAACCACACAATAACCAAATTCTGTAAACTCAGCATTGTAATACTTATAGAGAATAAAGTTTGAATTGAATTGAATTGAATTGAATACCTTCCATCACCCCCTCCCCCCACCCACAGGCACTGTATGATCCCTATGGGTTTAGTGCTCCCCTTGATAATAATAATTATATTAATGGTAATTTAGTAAATTAAATTTTTCAGTTGATTCAGTTTCTTCGTTTTATCAGGGCAGACAGCAACACTGATGGCTTTTTAGAGATGTCAGAGTTGTCTGTGTGGATCACTGCAAAGATCAAAGAACATCTCACCATGGCATTGAAAGAGAACTTCTTCATGTTCACAGCAATAGATCAAGACCCAAGGAATGGTAAGAAGCTTGTTTCTTTAGAGTGAAAGATAAGATATATAGATTATTAAAAAATGTATGCTTAGTATTGTCATGAATTAATTTCATACTTAAACAGTGTTGGTTAATCATATATACAGAGAGTATAGGTTTTATTTGTATTAAAGAGTAAAGATATAAGTAGTATCATCACTTCTGCCATTTTCCATCAAGGTAGGGTAACACAAACAAGAAAACACATTTACTGTTCTGTGTGCTCTTAGTATTATTTCCTTCAACTGTACATTATGATCTAGAAACTGTATGATACATAATGTACTACACAATGAACCCTCAATATTATGCACTAAATTATGAAACTGAATTTCCATGATTGTAACAAATGGACAAGAGCCTGAAGAAGTAGACTTGGTCATTTGGATGCCTACACGACACACTACCATTACCTGACTAATCTTTAAAAAGTGGATATTGTCCATTGGATAAAGATACTACGGACATATTAGGGACAACCTATAATACAGAACAGTAATTTAAAATAATGTGATGCAAAGGAGTTCAAAGTTTTGAACATGTGCAGTACAGGGATTTTCCTTATTTTGTGGTAGATAGTTAAGTTAAATCTTCATGGGGAAGTGGAGCAGAGTTGTTCCTCCGTAAACCATGCATGTCGTAAGAGGCGACTAAAGTGCTGGGATCAAGGGGCTAGTAATCCCTTCTCCTATATAAATTACTAAATTTAAAAAGAGATTTTCATTTTTCTTTTTTAGGTCACTTTGTCTCGGTAGGATATGGCCAGTTTGTTGAAAAGAAAAAAAAAAGTTAAATTATACTGTAAGCTTGTGGCATCCAGTGTTGGCTAAGAATAAATTTTAATGCTTGAAGTTCTACATCCATATGCCTTGCTATCCTAATAACCAAGTATATACTGTAAGCTTGTCTTTGATTTTTACAGATATCAGACATTGCTCCTGTACACACTTGCCACTGAGACACTAGTCTCCACCTTCCTCATTAGTTCAAGTTTCTGATTAACACCTCAGATTCACATGCTTCCTTTTGACACCACCACCTGTTATAGAAGCCATTTTTTATAGTGCTGTATGTAATATGTATGTTAATAAAGTAACAAAAAATACTGTAACTCCAGGGAAAAACTGACCTATTGATGACTACATGTGATTGTGAGCTGACAATGACAAACTGAAGTGATATAGGCTATGGTCTCCCTGGGAGCAATGAAAAGGACCAGGATCTGAATGGAGCCACAGTTGGCCATACAGAAATGCCAATGGACTTGGTTTGTTGGATGGGAAGACTTCTAGACACACTACTGCTAATGTACAAATGCATGCAGCTGACTTAGTCTGATAAATCAAGTCTTTGTCTAGCCAAATATTTTGTCTGTTGAATCTGACATCTGTTCAATAGGGATCCATTAAATCGAGGGTTTACTGTACATGCATTTTCTCATGGTCTGTGTAGGTGTAGTGTCTTGGAATGAGTTCCAGCGGTACTTCCTAAAGCAGCATGGGTATGATGATAAATACATTGAGGAACACAAGAAAAATCATAAAGGAATGCCTAGAGAATTAAAAGGTAAGTGAGGTGCATTTTAAAGGTTAAGATTCTTATTACAGGACACAATTTAGCAAACCCTACTGAATGTTTGGGATTAGTTCCAAGAAATGTAAACGTGATAGGGGCATCTTTCAAGAAGGCATTCGACTTGTGGGGGAAAAATTGCCACATTACCTAGTTATATCCCAACAAGGTGTCAGTTCTCCTTGAAAAATGAAAGTGTTGAAGTGAGCTCCAGCATATTTAATACATTTATTGTATAAAAAAATTACATGCTCTAGAAGTCAAAAACAAATCATTGATTTAAGATCTATGGGTCTAAAGGATTAATAAAATGTGAAAGTGATTTATCACTTTCCAGTTAGCCAGTTGCATCTTGAGTAAGATATCATGATGTTGACAATTCATATGTTATAATTAAGCAGGTGGACATTTGGCAGAACATATTGCCTCCTTGTCTGATTAAGAAGCAAGAGAAAGAAGCCACTTGAGTTGCATGACTTGTCTGAAGTTAAAGTATAGAAAGGCTTTACTACTTTGATTAATCTCAGGTTTAAAGTTCTGTGCATTGATACCAAACAAGTTTTTCTTAATGCAAAAATATTTTGAAAGGTTTTAATATAGGTTACTATATGCTACTGTTTATGCACATTTGATATTGTTAAACATTCATTACCTGTAGTTAAAATATATGTGGCTGTTTAAATTTCTTACTAACAGAGACCATTATGAGGGATAAGGCAATGTGGTCAGAAGCTGCCAGGGATAATCCTGATCAACTGACCATTGATGAATTTTTGGCATTCAGACATCCAGAATCATCTCATGCAACTATCTTGAGCATAGTTGAAGAAACTATTTCCAGATTGGGTAAGTGTGGCTTTGTAGTAATAATTTCACAATTACTGCATAGAAGATTTAGATAAACCTTCCCTTATTGGACTATGATGGATGGGGGAATAGAGAGCTGAAGATAATAATATCATTGTATGCACATTATTCATAATTCTTCTTTATCATCTTCAACTTTGCAAGGCCAATTTGCAGATCACCATTGTGATACTCCGCATCTGCAGTGCTCCTTCTTTTGCTCTGCAAGAGAACGAGATGTACCCAAGCATAGTTGCCAAATATACATTCAACAACTATGAGTTCCAGCCTTCTAAGTATTTTTAAATTAGGGTTAGTTGGAAATTCCTCATATATGTGTATCCCCCCATACTCTTGTTTAGTGACAGCCTTACCTGTCAGTGATGTCAACTGAACAGAGGGAAAGTTCATCTTTTTATTTCTTTTAACTCCTTGAATCTCTTTTAACACCTGGCAGTCTCCCAGCAAGGCTTCATGATCCAAAAACAAGGAGGACACACATTTAGTCAATTATTCAATCGCTGTCTTGCCAGAAGTGTACTGACGTTGAAGTTGAGATGGCCCTCTGAAATGCAACATCCTTACTGCACAGTAGTGTCTCCTTGAAAATATAATTGCTTTTACTGAGTTTATACGATGAAAAACTGTTTGATTTAAATTATAATACTGTACAATAAAGTTATTTTTCATAACTGATTAATATATTTCAGTTAGTCGTAACGAAATGGTTTGATGCCACAAGCGAGATACTGAACAAAGTTAATTTTGTTTTAATTATTTTAATAAGTGTTATTCATTTTCCAATTGATTAAATTTTATATTTTGCTAATTTGTTAACTAATTGCTTGTATTGTTTTGGATATATTTGAGATGCAAACTCTTATTTTCTTCCAGTGTTTTCCATGCTTTAACAGCAAGTTCGCTCCCATAAAACTGAAAAGCAGGGTGTTCGATATGTGCTTAATTTTATTATTAATGGATAATAGACATTTATTGAAAACATTTTACAATTTTACTCAAAATACAGTCAACTCCTTGTTACTAAGTGCAAGTAAATTTTTTTTTTTTTACAGATATTGATGGAGACAACAAATTAAGCGAAGATGAATTTTCAGATCCAGATATGAATGAAGTTCCCGATGACTTGACAGTAGAGCAGTACAGGAATGATCGCCAAAGAGAATTTAAAATTGCTGATGAAGACAACAGTGGCAAATTAGATAGAAGAGAACTGTTGGTATGTTATAGTTAACATTAGTTGCTCAGTATTAACCACTGCTGCAGTGGTAAATGTTGTTCTGTAGAATGTGTAGTTTTTCTGAGATAAAATGTTAAATTTTTTATATTTCATTTAAGATAAAATAGCTGATGTGCTAACAGATATAATCACTGTGATTCTTGCTGTCATTGTTTCCTTTCATTTTCTCCTTTCCCTTTTTTCATCATTCTGTAGTCTTTCTTATTGTCTCTTCTCTTTCATCATTAGATGTAGATCCATTATGTGTTAAATAACAAAAAAAGGCACAATACCGTGACTGGAACGATACACAAATAACCCGCACATAAAAGAGAGAAGCTTACAACGACATTTCGGTCTGACTTGGACCATTGACAAAGGCACACTAACCAGAAGTGGAGCAGGACGGCTATATATAGGCAGGAAGAGGTGGTGGTAATAGTAGTAGTAGTAGTACAAGAATGGTATATAATACCGACAAGATGAAATTAAGACACGCGCAACACCCGGACATCTCTAACGCAGACGTTTCGCCATCCAGCCTATATATAGCCGTCCTGCTCCACTTCTGGTTAGTGTGACTTTGTCAATGGTCCAAGTCGGACTGAAACGTCGTCGTAAGCTTTTCTCTTTTATGTGCGGGTTATTTGTGCATTATGTGTTAAGTTATAAATTTCAAGTATATTCCACAGTTCAGTAATTTGATAAAGAGGTTAAAAATTCTTGTGTAAGTATAACAGAGCCCAAAGCAAATTTTTGCTTGTTTTTATTATACAGTAGTGTGCATATTAATTGGTAGTGATGAAATAGAACATTTATTTGGAATATTAATGTTTATTTGAAAAATACATGGCAATATGACAGATAATTGATTTAATAAGAGATGTGACTACCCTTTGCTTTTATAAGCATTGCTACATGCTTTGGAATAGAATCGACCAATGTTGAACACATTTTGGTAAGTTCTTCATAGCAGCACCAGGTCCTAATAGCAGCATTTAGCTTCTGAACAGTTGTACAGTTCTGTTTTCTAATCCTGCATTTGGTTTTTGCCCATAGATTCTCAATCGGGTTGAAGTTAGGAGAGTTTCCAGGCCAATTTAGAACACCTAGCCCACTCTTTGAAGAATGTCAGCATTTTTCTTTAAGTGTGGCATGGAGCAAGATTCTGCTGGAAAATGCCTTCTCAATCAGGAAAGTCTATCCACAGTGGGAAACAAATGAGTTTCCTTGATTGCCTTGTATTTGTCACTGTTCATCATTCCCTCAACAATAACAAGCTATTCAGGAGTTTATCAGTAAAACTACCCTAAAACTTCTTAGGTGGATGTTTTGGCGCTTGTTGAATGTGTTCATTCTGAAGAGGTTCTTCTCTGATCCATCTCACTACCACTGATTTGTATCCATGTGCTTCAAAATGTGCCTCATCTGAAAATATAACTTTTCTCTGTTCATCTGTTGTCCATCGCTTGTAATAGAGTACCCACCGCGGCCATTTTTTCTTCATATCAGAAGTCAATAATTTTCTTTACTGCTTTCTGGCAGAACAACAGTTGTTGTAGCACTGACTAGAGTCGCAGGGTAACACCACAGTTGGATGGTTGCTAGAAGTCGGTAGCAAGTTCTTCTGAAAAGAAAAGAACCTAAACTACATTAATTAAGCCAGAGACTAAGACATATTATGAGATAATCACAAAATTTACTTTTTTTTTTTTTTTTTTTTTCAACAAGTCGGCCGTCTCCCACCGAGGCAGGGTGACCCAAAAAAGAAAGAAAATCCCCAAAAAGAAAATACTTTCATCATCATTCAACACTTTCACCACACTCGCACATTATCACTGTTTTTGCAGAGGTGCTCAGAATACAACAGTCTAGAAGCATACACATATAAAGATACACAACATATCCCTCCAAACTGCCAATATCCCAAACCCCTCCTTTAAAGTGCAGGCATTGTACTTGTCCCAATTAATTTGCATACTACTGTACTAGTGTATCTTTGTACTGTATTTAGTATGTGTACGGCACTGGCTTTTTCCAGTTTCTTGAATAGTGCTTGAACTCGGCTTATTTGGTACAATATCTATTTCACTTAAAGCTGTTCTTTTGAAATTCATGCACTCTTCATGTTCTTACAAAGCAATTTTATAAGACCTCTAGTCAAAATATAAATCCGTCAGCATCTTTACTGTATATTGTACATGTTTTCCTCTTACAATATTTTAATGATCACCATTGTTCCAACAGCGGTACATTGATCCACGAAACATCCACCATGCAGAGAAAGAAGCTGTCAATCTCTTTAGTGCAGCTGATGCCAACCAAGATGGAGTTTTAACGCTTGTTGAGGTTCTTGCTGAGAGAGAGTTATTCATGAGGAGCAAGATGGTTGACGCTGCTAAAAGCTTCCATGATGAGTTCTAATTGCCTTTTCTTTTATATAAAAACAGTGCAGTAAACCCTCAGTTTAATGGGCTAATTGGTGAGGAACCAGTGGCCAGTAATCGCAGTTTAGCAGATAGTAATGAGGTTGCTCTGCTTTGATTGTTACAACTGTGGACACTTTTTTAACCAACAGTGGATTTTGTCCCATATTTCTGAAGTCTGTTAGATTGAGGGTTGACTGTAACTAATGTTGAAAATGTAAATACTGTATTATGCATAGATTTTATGTATATGTACATGTATATATGTATGTATGCAATAAGATCACAGTAAACAAGTGATATTATAATATGCAGAACAACCACTGTGAAAAAGTAGTAAACTTCCAAGCACTTTCATGATTTCTTACGTTATCAAGAAACTGTGATAATGCGAGAAATCACGAAAGCACCTTGAGGTTCACTATTTTCTCACTGGTGCTTCTGCTTATATACGTATATACATTCAGTATTACTTTGTACTTATCGGGTGAATTCCACTTTTTCCAATACAGCACAGTGTACTTATGCTTGGCTTTAGAGCATTCCATGACTTGTTATAGTTTTATATATAAAAGTTGTTAAATAGCAAATTTTTTTTTTTTTTTTTTTTTTTTTCAACAAGTCGGCCGTCTCCCACCGAGGCAGGGTGACCCAAAAAAGAAAGAAAATCCCCAAAAAGAAAATACTTTCATCATCATTCAACACTTTCACCACACTCGCACATTATCACTGTTTTTGCAGAGGTGCTCAGAATACAACAGTCTAGAAGCATACACATATAAAGATACACAACATATCCCTCCAAACTGCCAATATCCCAAACCCCTCCTTTAAAGTGCAGGCATTGTACTTCCCATTTCCAGGACTCAAGTCCGACTATATGAAAATAGCAAATATTTTTTTATAATATAAAATATTATTTTGTATGTTTATTGCCCTCCTCACTTGGGGGTTTATGCAGAACCTGCAGACAGCATTATTCCATTACATTATTCTGTATTGATAATAGATTTGGATTAAAAAACCACATATTTTTTTTTTTTTTTTCCCCCAACAAGTCGGCCGTCTCCCACCTCACTCACACATAATCACTGTTTTTGCAGAGGTGCTCAGAACACAACAGTTTAGAAGCATATACGTATAAAGATACACAACATATCCCTCCAAACTGCTAATATCCCGAAACCCCTCCTTTAGAGTGCAGGCATTATACTTCCCATTTCCAGGACTCAAGTCCGGCTATATAAAAATAACCGGTTTCCATGAATCCCTTCACTAAATATTATATATAAGTTATCAAGGTATATACATGTACACCACATTGTTAGTATAAGAAATTAGTATCATATTTTAGCTTTTACTACAAATTTTATTACTGCATAACCTTTAATATGCAGGATGATTATTGTTTCAGGAAAATGTTCATTATATTTAATTGTGCAGCTCACTTTTACATATAGTAGGTGAATCAATCATGCTTTATAAAAATATGGTATAGGTTTTGTGTTATACAAAATACATAACATACCCAGTATGGTTAACATTCCTTGTATAATTATTTTATATTTGTTTCGCCGGCTTTATATGTGAGGAGTGTGTTTATGAATGTGCGCAAATGTGACAGCATCAGCCCTTCTCTGTAAGTCTTATTTTTGCTTCCACTATGTGGAGGCTAATTCTCATGGTATTATAATATTGAAATTACACATAATTAATTTTTGTCACTTGTATTGTGTATATCTAGAGCAGATGTTACAAACTCAGAGTATTAAGTGCACAACTGAGTTGTAACTTGTAAACAGATCAATTATATGAAAATGTTATTTTCACTAGTTTGGTCAGGTTTAATGCTTGTTTCCGAATCTAATGAAAATTCACCAGTTTTGGTAGGTAATCCCCAAAAGCTCCCTGATGGAAGGTCCTTTACATGCCTAGTGGGCAACTTTTTGCTGTGGGGGTTTCAGCTCGCTCAGGATGGCCATAACATGTAAAGATCAAACTGTACACTGTCGTTAGCATTTTCTATGCACAGGAACCTGTAAACCTGTTGTCTCTTGCCTGGGATTTGAGCCTGCTGTGGAGCTGCATCCCTCGGGTAGGCAAAAAACTTCAGTAAGGGCATAGGTCAAAAAAAAGAGGTTCATTTCTCACCCTGCTTGAGTCAGTTAGCAGGTCTTGCATCCCTTTCCACTATCTGGTGGGGTAATGTATTCAGCTAGAGGGAGTGTACATCAGTGCACTGGCATTATTTTGGTCCTGTGGCTGCCATTTAGCTAGCTGTTGTTTGCTCCTGTATCTGTTAGCCTGGGGTCATTTTAGTACACAGGTAAACCTTCTCTTATTGGACTATGATGGATGGGGAAATAGAGAGTTGAAGATTATTATTATTATATTATTTAGCAGGTAAGTGATTTTACCTACTTTTCAACAATGCCATAAGTGCTATTGTTTTGGACATCCTGCTCTATTTTGTCATTCATATGAAGATTGCCTTAACAGTGCCTTGCTGGTTAATAGTCTTAATAATCATTTCAGGCATTCATTAAGAGGCACCATTAGCATGCATGTTTAATCCAGAGTTTATCTTGCGGTGTACAGGGACAGGGCTCTGGTGGATAAAGCTCTCGCTTCACATGGCGAGGGTCTGGGTTCAGTTCCCAGCTAGGGTAGAAACATTGGGCATGTTTCTTTACACCTGCTGTGTGTTCATCCATCAGGAAAATGGATTACCTTGGTGTTAGTCGACTGGTGTGGGTCACATCCTGGGACACTGACCTAATTTGCCCGAAATGCTGAGCATAACGAGGGGCTTTCTATATAGTAGTGTCATTGATGTCAGCTAGGCCTGTATACCATGTACATGTAGTAAATAGATATTATTATTATAATAATAATTACTGCAGTCCAGGACCTGTCCATCTCTTCCAAGGATGTATACCCTATTCAGACTACTGGTGTTGTCCAAGAGCATTTAGGATTAATGGTAATTTCATTGGTCCAAGTTAAAGGACAACAAGCTGCTCTTGATCAAATCTCAGTTGGATTTTTTTGCCTTCTTTTCACTGCTGTTGCATTTGAGAAATAGCTTTTGTACAACTGCATGTTGGCCACAAGAGACTTGCACATAGTTGTCACATGGAGAGGCACCTAGCACTTCCCTATGCAGTTTGTCAGGCCCTGCTGACAGACACCTTTTGATTAATTGTGTGAACACATGGAATTCATGTCCTGTCTGTGGTTCAGCACCTAGGAACTCTCACATTACCTGCTCACTTTTCAGAAACCCTTACTTTAGGTTCAGACGCACTATAAATTTTGGTTGAAAGAGGCTCATTATGCCAACTTCGACTTTCCATGTTAGCTCATAGATTCATTAGTCACGCTGCTCCCTTTTTCCCAGTAGCTTCCTTCAGCCTCATTTGTGAATATTACATAATAATTAAGAGTGTATAATTTTTATAAAAGGCTATACAGGAGGGCCCCATTTTTTTTTGGTGGTTAGGTTCCTGACCCCTGCCAATAAGCAAAAATTGCTTATTAGCAGGGGTCATTAAAAATGCCTGATAATATATGATAGTAGTGTAAACATGTTAAGTTCTCAAAACAGCTAGGCCTAAAAAGAACAATATGAAAGTAAAGTGAATATACAGTACGTACAATACTCACCTTAAAATATTGTGCCAGACGCCTCTCCCTGATGCAGCTGTTGTGCAAAAATGGTGGAAAAAGTGCTGAACATAATGAACACTGGCTCAGTTGACTTCTGCCAAAATAGTGGGACACTGAAACATGGGGCCTTCCTGTACTGTTTCATGCATGTGAATATTCATTATAAAATGCTATGCAAATCACTCATTTATTGCTTCATTCATAAAATCTCAGCTAACCACAAGTCTTATTTTGTGGGTTGTGCTTCAGGAAGCTGAATAGAAGTACACTGTATATATAAGTATGTATAGCTGTACAGAAGTATTTTGGTATAAAACATTTATACAGTAATTGGCTAAGAGGATATCATGAGGGAGTGAACTGTAAATAATGCTACCCTAATTCCCTTCTCTTAAGTGACTAGCCAGGAGCATGTGCTAGTGGTCCTTTTGCTACTGTATTTCAGGAGTGATATGCATTTTGTTTCTTAGTGTTAGTTTTTGTTTGTCAGTAGGGTAGGAACTAGGCAAGTGTGGTCAGTAGCATGTCTCAGGCTTAGTGGATGGAGGATCAAGTATGTACCACTCCTTGTTTTGATTAGTACCACAGACTTTGATGATTTGTACTGTATCCATGAAGCCTGTGTGATATCTTTAGTATACGTATATCACACAGGCTTCATGGTACATACTTGATCCTTCATCCACTAAGCCTGAGACACGCTACTGACTGCACTTACCTACTTCCTACCCTACTGACAAACAAATGGCATAGTGAATGCACAAATGGTAGTTTTTTTGCATAATTTGCCACTTTAATTTGATTTAGATACAATTTTTCAGGTTTTTATCATTTTACCCAAATTTGTAAATAACTTGCATATATGTTTCATTTACACAATTTTTAGGCATTTATTTTAAAAATATAAATAACCTATTGGGTTTTCACACATTCTATAAAGCAAACAAAAGCGTTGGTTTTGCATTTCACAGTCCTGGAGTGCAAATTGTTCATGTAAAAGTAGTATTAACTTCTGAAAATGATAGGTACAGGTGCAATATATATGTGATGACATTCAAAACAGTATCAATTCTTAGAACATGTTTAAGCAGAAAATGTGTTGAGAACTATTACCTTCATGGTGGTCAGTATGTGCATGAAAACATGAATAAAATATATTGTTTTATCTATAAAACTTACTTAGCTTTTAATCGTGAATTTGGTCATGCCATAGTATAGTACTTCATTTGGACTGTGTAATGATTAATAATAAGAGAGAATTGTTTTGGGGGGATTTGAGTGTGAGCAAGATAAAGTCTGAAGGAATGAACCATTTGATCTTCATGGGTTTAGTGTTCAGTTTAGTGAAAGTATTGTTTCCACTTATAATAGTTCCATATGCCTAAATATAACCATTTGAATGTAGACAGAATTAAATTAAATATGATAAAGATAGCCATCAATTTTCAAAATCTTAATTATGTACTGAAACTTTAATATACTTAAGGCTTAAAGTCCAGGCACTGTATGACCCTTGTCAGTTTGGCGCTTTCTTTGATTATAATAATAATAATTAGAAGTCCAATTGCTTACTGCCATTTTTATTTTTATCAAAAGATGCTGTACATAAAAACCGTCATTCATTCAGATGTTTATCTGTAAGAGCTATGAACAAGTTACTTATTTTTGTACTTGGGAAATACTTTAAATGAAATTTTGTAAATCTTAACAGCGCTGTATGACCCTGGTGGTTTAGCGCTTAGTTTTAATTATAATAAAAATAATAGTGTAAACCTTAAGGTTTAAGAGGTAATACAGTTTATTAAAGGTTTAGAAACTTATAAATACATTAAAGGTTGATTCTGTATCATCAGTACTCACTAAATCTCAAGTGCAGTAGCATATGGGACTGGAAATTATGTACCTCAGCATGATTCTTATTTGTTTGTACTATTTGTCTTCAAGAATATTCAAAATTACAACTTAAAACTCTGTATACATGTACCTTTCCTCAGTAATGTGAATGTGGAGTATTTTATTCATTGTACTTTATAAAATGTTTTCCCGTACTTCCGTGAGTGATATTAAAAGCATTACTATTTATATTACGAATAGTTTGTTTAAAACAGTTGATCTAAAAGTTTTTTAGTCACTGAATCAAAAGTTGAGATTTTTTTCTGAATGTATTTGACACCTTCTGTGATAAACTAAAGTTAAGAAAAAATTATTATATTTGCTGTGATGCAGAGATTATGGAATTACGAATGTAACCTGAATCAATTAAAATATTCAATATCAAGTGTTTGTAGTTACTTTATGTAAATATATTTATCCCTTGAGAATAAAAAAAGCTTTACTTCTTGGTGGGGGGAGCTGCCGTCCAGTACACAAGTTATCCAGTCATCATTAAGTGTAAATTTTCTGCTTAGCACGTGTGTTTTGAGTCCTATTGCTATGCAAGCAAATCTCTAACTGAAGATAGATGCTTTTCCCTAAATGTTATACTGTAATATAATATAGAACTTTCTCAGATATACAGTATTATAATTTATAAAAGTAGCTTTAAGCATTTACTCTTTAAATATGGGAGTCTGAACTGGATATCAAGACAACTTTAAACTTGTATAATGAAAAGAAGTGGGGTTATAATATAAAGCCATGCTGTCCTGCTGAAGTTGGGGTAAAGGAAGAAAGAGGGGTCAGTTAGAGAAAATGGGGGTAATTTCCTCAATGTAACCTACCATCAACTCCTCTTGGTAGAATAAATTATTATTTTTCTTCTTTCAATTCACCAGCTGTACCTACAAGGCAGTGGGCCAAAAGAAAAAAAGTTCTTTTAACTTTAGTAATGTTACGAAGGATTACTGGCCCTTGCTTCCAGCATGTTAGTCGCCTCTTCTTGCGCTTCTTTTTGACTAAAATATATTAGTCGCTCTTACAACACGGCATGGTTTGGGGAAGATTCTGTTCCACTTACCATGGAGAAGAAACAAACAGGAACAAAACTATAAGAAAATGGAAAGAAACCAGTGGGGTGTGTGTTTATATATTACAGTGGACCCCCGTGTTAACGTTTTTTTCACTCCAGAAGTATGTTCAGGTGCCAGTACTGACCGAATATGTTCCCATAAGAAATATTGTGAAGTAGATTAGTCCATTTCAGACCCCCAAACATACACATACAAACGCACTTACATAAATACACTTACATAATTGGTCACATTCGGAGGTAATCGTTATGCGGGGGTCCACTGTACTTGTACATGCATGTGTAGTGTGACCCAAGTGTAAGTAGTAGTAGCAATCCTACCATCATGTTAAACAATTACAGGTTTCCATTTTACACTCAAAATGAAGTGCTAAAAATACAAGGGTAATAAATTAAAAAAAAGAATCTAGCAGAAGGAAGAGACATGACTGGGCTAGATCAAGAAAGACCAATAAGACTTTTAGGCTACAAAGATACTAGTTAAGATAAGGTAAGATTTCGTTTGGATTTTTAACCCCGGAGGGTTAGCCACCCAGGATAAGCCAAGAAAGTCAGTGCGTCATCAAGGACTAACTTATTTCCATTGGGGTCCTCAATCTTGTCCCCCAGGATGCGACCCACACCAGTCAACTAACACCCAGGTATCTATTTGCTGCTAGGTGAACAGGACAACAGGTGTAAGGAAACGTGTCAAAATGTTTCCACCCGTCGGGAATCGAACCCGGGCCCTCCGTGTGTGAAGCGGAAGCTTTAGCCATCAGGCCACCGGGCCTGGCCCTTAGGAAGGAGGAGGCTGGTGGTAGGAGGAAGCACCATATCAGATATCAACTTTTCCCCAATTAAATGATATAGCCTCCCTATATAGCAAATGACCATCTCCACAGATCCTATATGGCTCAAGGGTGAATGAAAAAAGTGCTACAATTTTTACAATTTAAAGAAAAAACTCAACATTAAGGGTTAAATTTGGCACGCACACACACACACACACACACACACACACACACACACACACACACACACACACACACGCAGATGATGTGAAGTTAATGAGGAGAATTAAATCAGAATTTAATCCTGCCAAATGCAAAGTCATGAAGATAGGGGAAGGGCACAGAAGACCACAGACAGAGTATAGGCTAGGTGGCCAAAGACTGCAAACCTCACTCAAGGAGAAAGATCTTGGGGTGAGTATAACACTGAGCATGTCTCCGGAAGCACACATCAATCAGATAACTGCTGCAGCATATGGGCGCCTGGCAAACCTGAGAACAGCATTCCAATACCTTAGTAAGGAATCGTTCAAGACACTGTACACCGTGTATGTCAGGCCCATACTGGAGTATGCAGCACCTGTTTGGAACCCGCAATTGATAAAGCACGTCAAGAAACTAGAGAAAGTACAAAGGTTTGTGACAAGGTTAGTTCCAGAGCTAAGGGGAATGTCCTATGAAGAAAGATTAAGGGAAATCGGCCTGACGACACTGGAGGACAGGAGGGTCAGGGGAGACATGATAACGACATATAAAATTCTGCGTGGAATAGACAAGGTGGACAAAGACAGGATGTTCCAGGGAGGGGACACAGAAACAAGAGGCCACAATTGGAAGTTGAAGACAAATGAGTCAGAGAGATATTAGGAAGTATTTCTTCAGTCATAGAGTTGTCAGGCAGTGGAATAGCCTAGAAAATGATGTAGTGGAGGCAGGAACCACACACAGTTTTAAGACGAGGTTTGATAAAGCTCATGGAGCGGGGAGAGAGAGGGCCCAGTAGCAACCGGTGAAGAGGCGGGGCCAGGAGCTAAGACTCGACCCCTGCAACCACAAATAGGTGAGTACAAATAGGGGAGTACACACACACAAAAAAGTAAAAGAATTAATCACAAAGCCATATTCCACCTTGCTAGGTTATATAATCACCTGCATTATACTCCTTAATTCAGCAATGAGAAAATAATTTAAGTCATACAAGGACACAGGGTTAAACACTGACATGTAATATATTAGTCAACCAGTTAGAACATTGTATAAAATCACACCAGAAACCATTTAAAAAACTATAACTCCTCTCTTGACATCAGCTAATACGTTTACCTGGAGTTTACCTGGAGAGAGTTCCGGGGGTCAACACCCCCGCGGCCCGGTCTGTGACCAGGCCTCCTGGTGGATCAGAGCCTGATCAACCAGGCTGTTGCTAGACGCAAACCAACGTACGAGCCACAGCCCGGCTGATCAGGAACTGACTTTAGGTGCTTGTCCAGTGCCAGCTTGAAGACTGCCAGGGGTCAGTTGGTAATCCCCCTTATGTGTGCTGGGAGGCAGTTGAACAGTCTCGGGCCCCTGACACTTATTGTATGGTCTCTTAACGTGCTAGTGACACCCCTGCTCTTCATTGGGGGGATGGTGCATCGTCTGCCAAGTCTTTTGCTTTCGTAGTGAGTGATTTTCGTGTGCAAGTTCGGTACTAGTCCCTCTAGGATTTTCCAGGTGTTATAATCATGTATCTCTCCCTCCTGCGTTCCAGGGAATACAGGTTTAGGAACCTCAAGCGCTCCCAGTAATTGAGGCGTTTTATCTCCGTTATGCGCGCCGTGAAAGTTCTCTGTACATTTTCTAGGTCGGCAATTTCACCTGCCTTGAAAGGTGCTGTTAGTGTGCAGCAATATTCCAGCCTAGATAGAACAAGTGACCTGAAGAGTGTCATCATGGGCTTGGCCTCCCTAGTTTTGAAGGTTCTCATTATCCATCCTGTCATTTTTCTAGCAGATGCGATTGATACAATGTTATGGTCCTTGAAGGTGAGATCCTCCGACATGATCACTCCCAGGTCTTTGACGTTGGTGTTTCGCTCTATTTTGTGGCCAGAATTTGTTTTGTACTCTGATGAAGATTTAATTTCCTCATGTTTACCATATCTGAGTAATTGAAATTTCTCATCGTTGAACTTCATATTTTCTGCAGCCCACTGAAAGATTTGGTTGATGTCCGCCTGGAGCCTTGCAGTGTCTGCAATGGAAGACACTGTCATGCAGATTCGGGTGTCATCTGCAAAGGAAGACACGGTGCTGTGGCTGACATCCTTGTCTATGTCGGATATGAGGATGAGGAACAAGATGGGAGCGAGTACTGTGCCTTGTGGAACAGAGCTTTTCACCGTAGCTGCCTCGGACTTTACTCTGTTGACGACTACTCTCTGTGTTCTGTTAGTGAGGAAATTATAGATCCATCGACCGACTTTTCCTGTTATTCCTTTAGCACACATTTTGTGCGCTATTACGCCATGGTCACACTTGTCGAAGGCTTTTGCAAAGTCTGTATATATAACATCTGCATTCTTTTTGTCTTCTAGTGCATTTAGGACCTTGTCGTAGTGATCCAATAGTTGAGACAGACAGGAGCGACCTGTTCTAAACCCATGTTGCCCTGGGTTGTGTAACTGATGGGTTTCTTGATGGGTGGTGATCTTGCTTCTTAGGACCCTTTCAAAGATTTTTATGATATGGGATGTTAGTGCTATTGGTCTGTAGTTCTTTGCTGTTGCTTTACTGCCCCCTTTGTGGAGTGGGGCTATGTCTGTTGTTTTTAGTAACTGTGGGACGACCCCCGTGACCATACGTACTGTATGGTCTCTCACGAGAATTTATCACAAACTTTGGGGTACTTCCCTGACATCCAGTCAACACCAAAGTTCCTTCTGAGTGAGCATCCCCTCGACAATGGTGCTACATCTTCATTCCTGAATGTTACTTGCTCATTTCTCTCATACTTTAAACTCCACATAAACAATTTAATCTCTGGCAGTGCTCCCCTCAAGGAAGGTTCCTTGATGTTGGTGAAGGGCTCTTGATTTAGGGAATTGGATCTGTGCTCCAGTTCCCCAAATTAAGCCTGAATGCCTTCCATATCACCCCCCCCCAGGCGCTGTATAATCCTCCGGGTTTAGCGCTTCCCCCTTGATTGTAATAATAATAATAATCTGGCAGTGCTGTAGCTCTCATGAGGAAAACTCCATGAATGCAGCTGGTTTTTTCTTAACACATCACTGACATTTCCCTGGGGCACATAGCTACTGCTAAACCCTAAAAAAAAAAAAAAAAAAAAAAAAAAAAAAAAAAAAAAAAAAAAAAAAAAAAAAAAAAAAAAAAAAAAAAAAAAGGAGGCTGGTTTAGCTACAAAATTCATACCACTACTCAAAACAAATATACCAGATAAAAAAATCTTAACAAGATAAGGTAAGCATATAAATGAGAAAAGACTCTGGTAACACAATTATCAGATACAATATAAAAATGAACATATCAGAGTTAAGTAACATGAAAAATTAGGCAAATATATGAAAAGAAAATACATACATTAGCATGAAAAGGACAAAGGAACAGAAAGACAATTCTCTAATATAGGAAAACAGGTACAAAGTGAGGTTATGTTATCAGACAAATTATGATACACAATGAAAAAAAAAATACAGCAAAAAGTCTAAGGGACTAATGGTAACAGTATTAACATGAAAGATAAGGTATACGTTAGAAATAGAAGGACATACGCTAGAAATTAACAAACAAGTTTACTACACATACTGGGTCATACTACAAATCTAGCAAGACATTAAAAAACACAGATTTAAAGATATCTAGGCTAAGATAGGCTAGACTAAACAAAGTCACTTTGTTAAAAGATAAATGTCCTTTTACATCCTCAAATATTACTTAAGAAGAATTGGTGCTAAATGTAAGATAAAAATTGCTGACTGTATTATATTAACATGAATACACTAAAAGACAACACAATAAGTGTCAGGGGCCCAAGATTGTTCAACGGCCTCCCAGCATACATAAGGGGGATTACCAATAGACCCCTGGCTGTCCTCAATAAGGCGTTGAACAGGCACCTAAAGTCAGTACCTGACCAGCAGGGCTGTGGTTCGTACGTCAGTTTGCGTGCGACCAGCAGTAGCAGCCTGGTTGATCAGGCTCTGATCCACTGCGAGGCCTGGTCAGAGACCGGGCAGCGGGGGTGTTGGCCCACGAAACCCTCTCCAGGTATACACAAGTCACATATATTTAACACACACCAATTACTATGTATGATAATTATACTTAGTGTATCTGTGCCTAAATAAACTTAATTACTGAACCAACACTTCAAGTTTTTTTTTGTGTGTGTGGGACTGGCACACGGGTTAATAGGGTTATTAAAGCTTATTCTTTGGGTAGTAAAAATTTATTTAGACACAGACAATTATCATATATAGTGTAAATTACCTACGATAACCCAAAAAAAAGTCAGACAAAACGACATAGTAACACTGAGGTTGGGCAAATATTTTTGTTAGTGGATTTGATAAGATAGTATGGGCCAATAGGCCTGCTGCACTGTTCCTCCTTTCTTCTGCTGTTATTACAGTTCATACAGTAATCGGAGGAGCAGAACCTATCTAAGCAAATTTTACCTACTTACTAGCTGAATTAAAATAAAATATACAGCATATTCCCCCCCCCCCAATACGTAGTCAACAATTTTCTCTAAATGTATATTTCGTCCGTTTTCTTCGCTTTACATTACTTTGAGTGATTAGAATAGTAAAGTCATTTTTTTTCAGGTATACACAAATACAGGTACACAGATTATCATACATAGCATATGCGTAGTGAAGCTAGGATAACCCAATAAAGTGAAAGTGACTTTCTATTGGGGTCCCGAGTACCGTCATAGAAGCTAAGACGTTGTGTAGTTTTAAAAATAGGTTAGATAAATACATGAGTGGGCGTGGGTGGGTGTGAGTTGGACCTGACTAGAGACTCTCTGACCGCGGGTTCAATCCCGGCCGGGGTATGGTTTGTTTGCAATCGTGTCATTACGATTTCGTGAGTCATCCTGACTAGCTGATGCTACTGGGTCAGATGCCGTGCTCCTTCCTTAAGTGAAGGTGACCTGACTGGGTGGGCCATTGGTCTAAGCCGGGGGTTGACATGGACGTGCTCCGCATGGGCCAGTAGTCCTGCTGCAGTGTTCCTTCTTTCTTATATTCTTATGTTGATAACTAAACAGAACACACAGCCATAATACGAGACAAACCACTCTTCGGTGTCCCTCGTGTCCATCTCTCCCTATGCAAAAATGCTATGCACGTAAGATAAGATTTCGTTCGGATTTTTAACCCCGGAGGGTTAGCCACCCAGGATAACCCAAGAAAGTCAGTGCGTCATCGAGGACTGTCTAACTTATTTCCATTGGGGTCCTCAATCTTGTCCCCCAGGATGCGACCCACGCCAGTCGACTAACACCCAGGTACCTATTTGCTGCTAGGTGAACAGGACAATAGGTGTAAGGAAACGTGTCGAAATGTTTCCACCCGCCGCGAATCGAACCCGGGCCCTCCGTGTGTGAAGCGGGAGCTTTAGCCACCAGGCCACCGGGCCCGAAGATCTGGAAGTCATTGCCAGAACACACTAAAGGACCACTGTCTCCAAATCAGTTTAAGGCCCTAATAAGAAATCACCTAATCACCCAAAACTAACCAGACAAACTGTACCTAATCACTACCAGCTACTCAAATGCTACTCATATTGTGCTGAGGATTTCTCAACCACTTACTACGACAAAATTAGGATGTCTGTTTTTTTTCATTGTTTTAAATAGTAGTATATTATAATACAGTACATCATAATGTAAAATGTTCCATTGTAATGCCAAATTTCATTGTTTTAAATAATACTAAAGTGTAATACATCATACTGTAAATTGTTTTAAATTGTTACATTGTAATACTGTAATCTTCATTAAATAATTCAGTAGTGTAATAAGTCTCTACTAGACTTATTAAAACCATGTAGCATTACCTAATATAATATGTATGTATTATTGCCTCGCTACGATACTATGTACCGCAAACTGCCCTTCTCACACTATACCATTCACTTACATATCCATACCTCACCTATGCTATCTGTGCTTGGGGTTCAACTGCAGCAACACACCTAAAGCCAATAATAACCCAACAAAAAGCCGCAGTAAGAATAATCACTAAATCCCATCCCTGGCAACACACCCCACTCTTCATAGATCTAAACATTCACACTTACTACTGTGCAATCTATATCTACAGGACCTTAAATTCCAATATTAACCTTGACCTAAAACGCTTTCTTGATAGTTGTGACAGGATCCACAGGCATAACACCAGACACAAACATCTCTATGACATTCCCCGTGTTCGACTAAACCTTTACAAAAATTCAATGTATTTCAAAGGACCTAAAATCTGGAACACCCTACCTGAAAACTCTAGAACTGCAGACACATTCATCACTTTCAAAACTACAGTTAGAAAACATCTTATCTCCCTGATACACCCCGACAACTAGCTACATGATAACCACCTGGTGGTTCACAATTACACTCACTCACCCACTGACTATAAACCCAGAAATACTAATCTTAAAATAATAAATCCTAACTAGTCATAAGTTTGCTTATGATACTCCAATATAGACACTTTGTATTGTGCCAAAACAAAAGCATTCACATTGCTAAACTCACAAATTATGATGTAGTCACTTAGCCTTAATACCATAATCTGTAAGGATTTAATGTTAAGATTTAATCTAAGTCTGCGCGAAATGCCTAACCATGCTAGGTGTCCTAGTGGCCCCCTCTGTAATTAGTATTTCATAACATGTAAACCACACAATACCCAAAACCTGTAAACCCCACATTGTAACCCTTATAGAGAATAAACTTGAATTGAATTGAACTGAAAGTTTGCCAGAAATGCTCTGCATACTATGGGGCTTTTGGTATGTACGCCCAACTATTATATTCCTCTGTACAACCATGTAATTTATCAAAATAAAAATCTTAATCTTAAGTGCCAGCTACTAAGTACACATATTCTGTTATTAACGTTTAAGGCGTCATCGTGAAAATTAAGGATCCAAGTGGAACCAAGTCGGATTTTGGTTCACATCTGAATGTTCTGGGTTCGATTCCAGCACAAATGACATCATTGGGTATGTTTCCTTACACCTGATTTCCCTGTCCACCCAACAGTAAGTAGGTACTTGGGGATGAGCCGACTGTTGTAGGTTGCATCTTGACCGGAAACAAGTCGACTTAGGTGGCTTCTGAATTTGATCTAGATTAACCCCCTCTTAATTTGGAAAAATCTAAATTTGTACAATGGTTCTTAAGACACAGATATCTGCATAATCTACATATATACGCACAATAAATATTACGCATATTATATATTACAGACACCCACCCCAATACCCACACATGTAATTGGTCATTTAAATGAAGCCAGGTGTCAGGAAGTACTTGCTCTATTTCCAGACGAATAAGCACACACACACACACAACGGTCAATGAAGAGGCGGGGCCAGGAGCTAAGTCTCGACCCCTGCAACTACAAATAGGAGAATACAAATAGGCGAGTACACACACACACACGTATGTGTAATAGGATCACAAGATGCAATTTACCCACAGTGAGANAGCAGTAGTATTGTAACGCCTTTCGTGATCTCTCACATTGTCAAGACACAGTTCCTTGATGACTTGGACTCACGAAAGCACTACATAAAACACCACTATAACGGTCATTTTTGATTAGTGCAGGTGTCATTAGGACTAATTCGACCCAGCTATCAAAATAGGATATATACATTAAGGAATATTAACACGCACACGTAGTGTAAAGGATAAAAGAAAGCCATTTTTACCCACCCCAGTTGAGGCAGTGAAGTAACTGGTAAAACGCCCTGATAACACATTGGAGTAAGACACAGGTTCCTGGAGATGGTGAGAGACCAGAGAAAGCGCTTAAACTAAAAATATCCACTTACGTTATATTTATATTGCCATTCACAGCTGTGTGTTACATGTTCCCTTACAAGAATTACAGTTCACGCCGGTCTGTCAACAGCCAGGGTTATCATATCAAAGGATTGGTTATTGTGGCTATCCCCCGAGAAAACAGGATAGTTTTGAATGCGTTCTTCTATCTCCTTTCCTCCATGCCTGACGCTTGTGAGGAAATAGTATTACGGCCTCTATAGATACCATATGGACAGAAATGTGAATTTTCAATAAGTAGATATGTGCTTTTGTCCTTTGTCGAAGCTTCTAAATCCAATATATTATCATCGTTATTTTATGCCATCAATGCTGTTGACCAAGTAGTAACCCTTTATAGACTATGAAGAAGGATTTCAGACTTGTTATGCACCCCGGCACGAACTATATGAACCAGGCCTCAAGTATGCATACGGCCTGTAAAACCAGTATATATTGGCCACGCACGACCCGAGTACGAACACTGCTGTTACCTTGTTATACTGGACGTACACCATATATACCTTGTTAGTACCCATATGCCATGTGCACGTTAGTTATACCATCACTTACGACGTATTCGGTCCTGCAGTACCAAGTACGACAAAATGTCGTAAAGTTTTTACAACATTCCTCATATAACCAGTCACGTAATGGCCATTTTTCCTCTGCAGACCCAGTTAAATCACGTAACTATATACACTGTGGCAGTTTCACCCAATGATTTGGGATTTTAGAGCCATAATACGTAACACTGGCACTAGCAAGTAATGACAAACTCCTACATTTTATGCAATACAACACTGGCACGTACACCAATATATGCAACACTGGCACGTACACCAGTATATACAATGGCACATATATCAGTATATACAACACTGGCACGTACACCAGTATATACAACACTGGCACGTACACCAGTATATACAACACTGGCACGTACACCAGTATATGCAACACTGGCACGTACACCAGTATATCAACACTGGCACGTACACCAGTATATCAACACTGGCAGTACACCAGTATATACAACACTGGCACGTACACCAGTATATACAACACTGGCACGTACACCAATATATGCAACACTGGCACGTACACCAGTATATACAATGGCACATATATCAGTATATACAACACTGGCACGTACACCAGTATATACAACACTGGCACGTACACCAGTATATAAAACATGGCACGTACATCAGTTATACAACACTGGCACGTACACCAGTATATACAACACTGGCACGTACACCAGTATAACAACACTGGCACGTACACCAGTATATCAACACTGGCACGTACACCAGTATATACAACACTGGCAGTACACCAGTATATACAACACTGGCACGTACACCAGTATATACAACACTGGCACGTACACCAGTATATACAACACTGGCACGTACACCAGTATATACAACACTGGCACGTACACCAGTATATACAACACTGGCACGTACACCAGTATATACAACACTGGCACGTACACAAGTATATACACAACACTGGCACGTACACCAGTATATACAACACTGGCACGTACACCAGTATATACAACACTGGCACGTACATCAGTATATGCAACACTGGCACGTACACCAGTATATGGAACACTGGCACGTACACCAGTATATGCAACACTGGCACGTACACCAGTATATACAACACTGGCACGTACACCAGTATATACAACACTGGCACGTACACCAGTATATACAACACTGGCGCACGTTACAACCAGTATATTGCAACACTGGCAGTACACCAGTATATGCAACACTGGCACGTACACCAGTATAATCAACACTGGCACGTACACCAGTATATCAACACTGGCAGTACACAGTATATACAACACTGGCACGTACACCAGTATATACAACACTGGCACGTACACCAGTATATACAACACTGGCACGTACACCAGTATATACAACACTGGCACGTACACTAGTATATACAACACTGGCACGTACACTAGTGTATACAACACTGGCACGTACACAAGTATATACAACACTGGCACGTACACCAGTATATACAACACTGGCACGTACACCAGTATATACAACACTGGCACGTACACCAGTATATACAACACTGGCACGTACACTAGTATATATAACACTGGCACGTACACTAGTGTATACAACACTGGCACGTACAAGTATATACAACACTGGCACGTACACTAGTGTATACAACACTGGCACGTATACAAGTATATACAACACTGGCACGTACACCAGTATATACAACACTGGCACGTAAACCAGTATATACAACACTGGCACGTAAACCAGTATATACAACACTGGCACGTACATCAGTATATACAACACTGGCACGTATACAACACTGGAATCAAGGTTCACTGAACTATGAACTTTAATTTCAAGGCCTTAATCGTATTCTGCTAATTAAAAAGAATTTTGATGCTAACTTGATAAAAGTCGGAATAATTACTAAGTGATGATATAGGCATCATTATACTAAACACTTATATATACAAATATTAGTCGTGCCGTATAGGTAAAAACTTGCCATTTTGGCTTAAACAGCAAACGCTCTTTTTGCCGAATAAAGCAAGCAAAAATTTGTGTATGCAATAATTTCGCAAAAATCATTCTGAAACTAACGAAAACAATATATTTCACTGTGTTTGTTTATTAAATTATTGCAAACGTATCTAAAATATATTTAGTTGGATTAGGCTAAATTAAATTACACTTTATAAGGTTAGGCAAGTTTTCTAAGATTCTTTTGGTACAAAATTAAAATTTTTTGCACTAACATTAATGAAAAAAAATATATCTTTAAACGTATAAGAGAAAATTTTAGAAAGGACTTAATTTTAAATGAATTCTTGTTAATTGACCAGTTTTACCTATTAGGCACGGCAATAATATATATATATATATATATATATATATATATAATTATTTGTATATACACTGAATACTGGAGAATTTACATAACCTAATTTTAAGGTCAATAACTCTAATGGGAAACCACTGAGATCCTGCATTTATCTGCTTGTTGTACAGCACCTAATTGCCATAATAAGTGAATACCCAACATCTACATTCCATCTGAAATCCCAATTTAACATACCAATAACTGTGGCCCCAGCAGCAGAACTCCCTAGTCGCGTTTCTTTGTACTTTTAGAGTGACTCGTCTTCAGTGTCCTTGTTGAACATCTCCAACGTCCTCTCTGGTGGGGGTTTGTAGTTTGTTAGTTCATCCTCTTCAGGCACTGGCTCAATTTCCACATCTTCGTCCTCGGCCATTGTCTGTTAAGGGTGTAACTTTAATTTCAGAATTTTCAAAAACTAACATTATAGGTACAATATTTATTAGTGAATATTAAATGGAGAACAGTAATACACCGATAAACAATAGGTTTATATAAAACTAGGAGGGTGTGTAAATCTGGGATGGAAGGAAGGAGGGTTAAGGGTCATCCCAGAAAAGGTTGGGAGTAAAAGTGGTTTTGAGTGCTAGGGGCTTGGACATCCAACAAGTTTGGATTTTCAACTGTATGGGGGGGGGGGGGGACAGCGGCAACTAGTTTCCTGCTTCTCCATATTTCCCTTCCACCACTTAGTAGGCCATCACAGCGTGATGGCCTACTTGTATATACTTGTGATGTATATACTTGTAATGACACGATTGCAAACAAACCATACCCCCGGCCGGGATTGAACCCGCGACGGGCTGGAGTTTTGAGACTATGACCGCGGGTTCAATCCCGGCCGGGGGTATGGTTTGTTTGCAATCGTGTCATTACGATTTCTTGAGTCATGTTGACGGCAGTGAAGGGACTTGAGCTAGAGTTCGTCACGGCCACGCTAGCTGGAGATTCGTCTGTAAAAACTTGCATTTGTGGTCACAGAGGTGCCTGTGCTAACCTTCCTATGGTGTAGAAATATACCTAGTTTATGAATCTTATTGTGGCTAGCTGGTCTAGTGGCTAACACGACGGGCTGGAGTTTTGAGACTATGACCGCGGGTTCAATCCCGGCCGGGGGTATGGTTTGAAGACACCATATAGTCATGTGTAAAAGTCAATATGATAATGTTGATGATAATGATAATGTTGACAATCCTGACACAACAGTAGCTAATGTAAAAATTGCTACTAATGTTAATAATGATGGTTTTGCTGAAGTAGCCTTACCTGTGTTACAGGTAAAAATTGATGATAAAAGGCATAAATCAAAAAATGTAACTGCATTATTGGACCAGGGATCCCAGCGTACTTTCATAAAATGTAAATGTCTTGATGGTATGAAAGTACAGATGGGAGATCCCACAACTTTAAAATTATCTGGTTTTCTCTCGGATAAAAGGGCTCAATTGTATGACACTGTTTATGTAACTGTCAGGTTGGGCAATGAGAAAAACGTGTTAATGCAGTAATTGTAGATAGACTTCCAGAGAAAATATCTACAGTAGGGCTTAGTAAAGCTACAGAAAGACTTTCACATAATGTAAATTTAGCACCTTCAGGTGTAAGTTATGATTCTGTAGGCCCAATAAATATTTTGATAGGTAGTGACTATTATGCCTCCTTTGTAAAGGGTATGGTAAAGAAATGTGGTGTCACCCTTTTGAAGACTGCAGAGGCCATGTAATGTTATGGTAGGATTCCTCGTAATAATAATTCATGACTAGAGGAAACTACATATACCATAACTGTGTGTCTTACTCATGAAATCGTACCCCAGTATAATTCTTTCATAGAGGATGGTGTTGAGCCAGTGCATAAATTGTGGGAATTAGACAGCATTGGAATAAATGTAAATGAAGAAAGTCAGACGATTCTTTTACTCAGGAGCAATACCTGAGAGATGTAAAATTTTGAATCTGGACAATACTGGGTACGACTTCCGTGAAGACTGAACCATCCAGAATTGCCACATAATTACAGAATGGCATATGGGCAGTTAAAGCTCAGCTCCGCGAACTGAGTAAGACACCAGAATTGTTAACTGCCTATAATGATATAATTGCTGAGCAGTTAATTAATAAATTTAGAAGAGTACCTCCTGAGCAAGCCAAAATTTATGGTCACTATTGCCAATCACGGAGTGAAGAAGGATTCTAAGACCACTCCTCTGAGATTGTGTTTAATTGTAGTGCCAGGAAGTAACAAAAATGTACCTAGTTTAAATGACTGTTTGATGACAGGTCCGTCGTTGACGGAAAAATTAGGAGATATCTTATTAAATTTCAGGATGAAAAATTATGCCTTTACGGCTGACATAAGTAAAGCTTTCCTAAGAGTGGGTTTACAAGAGGCTGACGAGATTTGTACCTGCTTCTTATGGCCTGAGAATCCTAGTGACCCACTTAGCCCTCTGAAAACCTTTCACTTTAGGAGCGTATTATTTGGTGCTACATCCAGTCCGTTCCTACTTCAAGCGACGATAAATGCACACCTTAAACGTATGGAAAGTCCATTGAGTAAAGTAATGAGCAAACAATTTTATGTGGACAATTTCCTGGGTGTGACGTCAACTGAAGAGGAACTGTTAATGACTTATGGAGAGGCTAATAAAATAATGCAAAGTGCAAATATGCCTCTGAGGGAATGGAATAGTAATTCGTCCAAATTAAAGGACAAAATAAGTAAAGATTACCCTGGAGATGAAATGCCAAAATGTAGTAATGTATTGGGTTTAACTTGGGATACTGAGAGAGATTTGTTAATGTTAAAACCTAACATTTACAGTATGCCCAATAAGTTAATAGAGAGTTTTACTTGAAGTTTCCAAATGTTTTGATCCACTAAGTTTAGTGTCACCCCTTATTATAAGAGGGAAATTATTAATTCAGGGAGCATGGAAACTTAAATGTGCTTGGGATGAAATTCTACCTGAGGAATTCATTAACAGGTGGGATGAATTAATTGGTGATTATGAAAAATTCCAATGTTGGAGTTCCCACGCCAGGTGGCCAATCCAAATGGGAAAAATGTACTCCACATTTTTTGTGATGCTTCAAAATTGGCATATGGAGCAGTTGCTTACCTTCAATGTAATATTGTTATTTCTCTTGTTATGTCTAAGGCTAAAGTGTCTCCAATTAAATCACGTACCTTGCCTCAGTTGGAATTAACAGCCATTTATGTAGGTGTCAAATTAGCTAATTATATAAGAAATAAGTTGCAGGAGATAAACATTAGCGACACTGTAATTTGGTCTGATAATGAGGTATCCTTACAATGGATTCGTAATGGAAACAGTAAAATTGTGTACGTACAAAACAGAGTCGCTGAAATTAATCATATGCAAGAGAAGTATAATAGTTTGGGTCAGCATGTGTTAACATTTAATCATATACCTGGTGAGGAGAATCCAGCTGATTTCTTGTCTCGAGGTTTACCTCATGCTAAATTTATAAATGCTGTATAATGGTTTAAAGGACTGAGCTGGTTGGTAAATAAAGCTAATTGGCCTGTACAAAAGGCGTATATTGCTTCTGTTGAAATTACCGTGACCACCACTCCAATAGTTTGTCCTTCCTTAGCCATTGACATAAATAGGTATTCTTCTTTGCCCAAACTAATCAATGTAACTAAGTTGGTGTTTAAATTTCTAAAGAAGATGAATATTTCATATAAGTTTTCACATCCTCTTGAATATTGGATAAAGAGGGTACAAGAAGAAATCTATGGAAATGAGATTAAATTGATGATGGAAAGAAAAATTGTGAAAGGTTCCATAATAGAGAAATTGGGGCTGTATTTAGAGAACAATGTAATTAGGTGCAGAGGTAGGTTACAAAATGATGAATTGGGTGATTATGCTAAACACCCTATCTTACTGCCCAAAACTCATCATCTAACAAATTTGATTGTTCTAAATGCCCATAAAAATGTAATGCATGGTGGGGTACAAGATACCTTAAATTGTATTAGGGAAACTTTCTGGATTCCACAAGGACGGCAAAGTGTAAAAAGGGTGATTAAATCTTGTGTAATATGTAGTCGTGTGGATGCCAGATCCTATATGTACCCAGATCCTCCATTGCCAAAGTAGCATGTACAATCAGTGAAACCATTTGATGTAACAGGTGTAGACTATAGTGGTCCAATAATTTTAACAGGTACTTCAGATGGTGTTCCACTGAAAGTGTATGTTTGTTTGTTCACCTGTACTGCTACTAGGGCAGTTCATTTAGAAGTGGCACAGGACTTGTCTGCAGAACAGTTTATACAGCTGTTTCGAAAATTTGCAGCTAGGAGATCCTGTCCGAGATTGATGATTTCGGATAATGCCACAAATTTTGTAGCAGGTGCTCAACATTTGATAGAATTAAATAACAGTAACGATGTTCAATCTCTGTTATCCCAACGAGGGTGTACCTGGAAATTTATTACTCCTAGAGCCCCTTGGCAGGGAACGCTGTACGAAAGACTGATAGGCACAGTGAAGAGGTGTCTCCGTAAAGTACTATACCGGAAGAGAATTAATTTAGAAGAATTCCGTGCAGTGTTAGTGGAGGCGGAGAATCGTATAAATAATAGGCCTCTCTCGTACATGAGTGATACACCTGATGCAGATGTATTAACACCTTCTCACCTAATATGTGGAAGGAAATTGGAAGCTGCCCTTGTCTATAGAGATAATCCGGAAGAAAGTGATGAAGATTACAATGATGCGGCAGTGTTGTGTAATAAATTTAAAATGTTAAATAAAGTAATTGATCATTGGTCTAATGTGTGGCATAAGGAATATATTCATACACTACGTGAACACTTATGGTGCGACAGAGGCAGTAAATCGACAGACCATTCAACCAGGTGACATTGTGTTAATTGACACTGAACAACATCGAACATTGTGGCCTCTGGGCAAAGTATTGACATTGTACCCAGATGCACAAGGTGTTGTCAGGAATGTCAGTGTTGTGTCGTGGCCAGGAAAGTTTACGCACAATTAATAAATTGATTCCCTTGGAATTAGGTGTTCAATCAAACGTAAATGAAAATCTGAGGGAAAGTGACACGAGTGATAAGGAAGATAACGCAGACCAAGTGATGCTGGAAGATGAAATCGTAGTAAGACCTACTAGGAGAACAGCCACTTAAGCCAGAACCGGCTGGAATCGTCTCCTAAAGGAAGGAGTAATTTGAGTCGTTTAGCAACGAACTCCGGCCGGCCGCAGTGTGGAAAATACCGTATATATTTTCCAGAAATACAGTAGTTATATGTAAATAGATGGCCATACTGTATTTAATAATATTTATGTCATTAAAAATGGGAAATTTTCTGCACCTGGGCAG